AAGGTCGGGCTGAAAGTCTGACACCATGTGACTGAAAGATGATTTGATAAAATAAAATAGAATAATTATTATAAGTTTTAACATGAAAAGCAAAAGTGACGAGGTAATTAAAACGTTGACTTTCTGAATTAAACCTGTAATTTGGAAATTTAAATTTATTACAAGTCAAAATCTTGATTTTTAAGTCAAAACAATTAAATTTTAATGAAATTTTTTTTAAGATGAAATAAAAATGAAAAAGTAAAATAAAATAACACACATTAAAAAAATGAATTAAATGTAGAGATTTGACAGAAATCAGACTTTTGATATAAAGAATCAAGAGTCTTAGAACTGTGACTTCATAAATTCACATTTTGACTTTGGATCTTTACTTTTTGTAAATTTTAACATTTCATCGTCTTTTTTTGTGGCGGGAATGAACTTCCATATTTTTAAGTTAAGGTTTGATTGACTGTAATTATAAATTTAAATTCAAAGTGGAAATCTTGTTATTAAGTCAAAACAATGACATTTCATTTTAGAAAATTGGAGATGAAATAAAGTGAAAAAGTAAATTAAAAAACATAAATATGAAATTATGAGATATTATGTCAGAATGTGAGATTTAACAGAAATCAGACTTTTGATATAAAATGTCAACAATCTTCATAAATTCAACATTTTTACTTTGGATCTTTGTAATTTTTTATCATTTCATCGTCTGTTTTTGGAAGGAATAAACTTCCAAACTTTTAAGTTAAGGTTTGATTGATGTTTTCAGAAACTAATTAATTTGATAAATTCCTGTTACTGTCACTCAATTTTTTTTTCTTTTTTTTAATGTATGTTTCAATGTTTTCAAATGAATTTTTGGGTTATTTCAAAAATAACTTCTCATTCCAAAATCATTTAAACAGTGACATTAAATCCAACATCAAAGCTTCATCCTCAGCCCTGTTTTCACAAACTGTCCCACATCATGTTTTACTATTTAATACTTTATAATCATTGATGACTCAGGATGATTCAAGTCAAAGTCATGTTCAGTTTCCTGTGATTTCTCCGTAGTTTCTGCAGTGAGTGACTTTTTCTTTTTCTCTGAATAAACTGATTTTTGGGATAAACTGGATTTATCGGTTTAAAGTGTAAAATTGTGACCAAACAGGAACGAGATGAATAGTTTGATTCATAGGTTTAAATCGTGTGTTGAGTCTGCTGCTCTTATTCTATGTACTTTATATATATATACATATATATATATATTTTTTTTTTAGTCATTTGAAGTTGTACATTTTCTGTTAAAGTTGAGCTGCAACTTTAAAACAAAATATACATCAATATACACTGGGTAATCAGGTTTATTTTGAAAAATTGAATCATGACATTAAAGTAATTTCTGCAATAAAATGAAAAAGTACTAAGTATTAAAAATATGAAACATGATTTTATTTCCAGATTTGGCCAAAATGAAGAATTTTTACTTTTATATTTTTAATTGTGTAACTGATTTTTATTGAAGTTTCCCTGCGATGCTCTGACAGTGAAGTGTGTGTGTGTGTGTGTGTGTGTTTTTATTCTGACATTTTTAAAAAAATAAATGCTGTTGTTGAAAATTTGTTTCCTTCATATTGTCTGATTTTAAATTCCATCACATTTACCTGCAAGTAAAAACTCTATTTTTTATTTACATAAATATTTATATCATATATCAAATAACCACTTAATTTATATTTTCATTATATTATATAAAATATAATTTTTTTAATCTAAATTATATTTAAAAAGTATATATTATGTAATATAAAAATATATGAATTTTTAAAAATCCAAATTATATAAAAAAGTATAAAACATTCTTATTAGAGATTGACGTAGAAATCAGCAAAACAAATAAGGACAGAACTTAACATGTCACCAGCTTCCTAGGTAAATGATATGGTGCGTTCATGTCCTGTGGGAGTAAGAGTTACATTCTGAATTTAACCTGTTTTAATCCGAAAATACTTCAAACAGTCAAAACAATATTTGAAAATGTAATTGCTGCTACAGCAGCGATTCATTTCTCTATTCTCCCTCTAAACCAAGGAACCGTGTCTGAACCCAGACGTCTCAAGAAGAGTTTATCACCTACAAGTTGATCAGTCTTTTCAAATGAGAAATGAGCTGGAGTGTAGAAAAGGGTTAAACACACAGCATCAAACCACTTCCTGGACTGAGTCAAAGCCTGATGCCCCTCCCTCTTCTTCCTGCTCTCAAACACAGCCAGCTCCACTCTGTTCATGTGTTTCCTTGTTCCCTCCCTTCAGATCTACAGTTTGAAGATGGGTGGAGCCAACATGTGGTGAAGTGCGAGAGCTGACAGGCCCCGTTCACTGCAGAGACACATGTTGTTTAGATCAGAGCTCAAACTAGTTCAGTTTTGAGGAAGTGAACTCAGACAGTCGTTGTCAGCTGAACAGAAAGGAGATCAGCTGGAGCTGGAAATCTTGTCTTGTTCCATCTGTCTGGATCTACTGAAGGATCCGGTGGCTGTTCCCTGTGGACACAGCTACTGCATGAACTGTATTAAAAGCTTCTGGGATGAAGAGGATGAGAAGAGAATCCACAGCTGCCCTCAGTGTAGGCAGACCTTCACACCGAGGCCTGTCCTGGGGAAAAACACCATGTTAGCAGCTTTAGTGGAGCAGCTGAAGAAGACTGGACTCCAAGCTGCTGCTGCTGATCACTGCTATGCTGGACCTGAAGACGTGGCCTGTGATGTCTGCACTGGGAGGAAACTGAAAGCTGTTAAATCCTGTCTGGTTTGTCTGGTCTCTTACTGTGAGAATCACCTGCAGCCTCATCATGATGTAGCTCAGTTAAAGAAACACAAGCTGGTGGAGCCCTCCGAGAAGCTCCAGCAGAACATCTGCTCTCGTCACGATGAGGTGATGAAGATGTTCTGCCGCACCGATCAGCAGTGTATCTGTTATCTCTGCTCTGTGGATGAACATAAAGGCCACGACACAGTCTCAGCTGCAGCAGAAAGGACTGAGAGGCAGAGAGAGCTCCAGCTGAGGCGACAAGAGATCCAGCAGAGAATCCAGGACAGACAGAAAGATGTGAAGCTGCTTCAACAGGAGGTGGAGGCTCTCAACGGCTCTGCTGATGAAGCAGTGGAGGACAGCGAGAAGATCTTCACTGAGCTGATCCGTCTCATGGAGAAAAGACGCTCTGATGTGAAGCAGCAGATCAGATCCCAGCAGGAAACTGAAGCCGGTCGAGTCAAAGAGCTTCAGGAGAAGCTGCAGCAGGAGATCGCTGAGCTGAAGAGGAAAGACGCTGAGCTGAAGCAGCTCTCACACACAGAGGATCACAACCACTTTCTACACAACTACCCCTCACTGTCACCACTCAGTGACTCTACAGACTCATCCGCCATCAATGTCCGTCCTCTGAGACACTTTGAGGACGTGACAGCAGCTGTGTCACAGCTCAGAGAGAAACTACAGGACGTCCTGACAGAGACATGGACAAACATCTCACTGACACTGACTGAAGTGGATGTTTTACTGTCACAACCAGAGCCCAAGACCAGAGCTGACTTCTTAAGATATTCACAGGAAATCACACTGGATCCAAACACAGCAAATACACGTCTGTTATTATCTGAGGGAAACAGAAAAGCAACAGTAATGAGTCAACAACAGTCTTATCCTCGTCATCCAGACAGATTCACTACACATCCTCAGGTCCTGAGTAGAGAGAGTCTGACTGGACGTTGTTACTGGGAGGTGGAGTGGAGAGGAGGAGGAGTTTCTGTATCAGTCTCATACAAGAATATCAGCAGAGCAGGGGGGGAAACTTTATTTGGATATAATGACAAATCTTGGTCGTTAGATTGTTTTCAAAACAGTTTTTCATTTAGATTCAACAGCATCATCACTCCAGTCTCAGGTCCTCTGTCCTCCAGAGTAGGAGTGTACCTGGATCACACAGCAGGTGTTCTGTCCTTCTACAGCGTCTCTGAAACCATGACTCTCCTCCACAGAGTCCAGACCACATTCCCTCAGCCTCTCTATGCTGGACTCTGTCTTTACTGGGATGGAGACACAGCTGAGTTTTATAAGCTCACATAGATAAAAGTCCAGATTTGTATTTGGTTCCTAAAGTTATTGTGTCTCCATCATTGTTGCTAAGAGCTGGTTGTTGTGTTGTTTGTTGAATCCTGATGTATTATTCCAGGTGAGATCAGGTCCATGTAAGTCATTCAAATGAGTCTCATCTTCACCTGCTGCAACATGAAAGTTGTTTCACATTAAAACATCAATGATCACAATCCAGTCGTATGATTTACATTATTCTGAAGGGAGACTTTTACTTTGATACTCGTGTTTTCATGTTAATACTTATGTGCTTTTACTGAAAGAAAATGTCGCCTGTGTGACTTTTTCTTGTGTCAGAGGACTTCTTCTCTGTTATCACGTCTTTGACTTCAATAAAGAGTAAAAACAATGAACTAATGACAAACGCTTCTTATTAGTAAAAAGTTTGAGAGACTCACAGTAACATTCAGTTTCAGTTAGAAACAGCTGAGGTCATGAAATCTCCATCATTAAATAAAACACTGAATGAAACTGAATAAATAGTTTTTTATTATTTTCAAAGTAACTGAATATTTTTTACTATCTACAAATAAAGTTTTATTATATACAAATAAAGTGTATTATCTTTATTATTATTAATATCATTATTATTACTAGTCTTTTTATCATCATGATCATCTCTACATGTTCAGTCTTGCTGGTGAATAAATCAGTAGAATTGACACTTTCTCTTTTCTGTTCATCACCTCAGTGGTTCCACTGTATTTAAAGAACTGGATCACTTCTCAGCTGAAACCATATTAATATCAAATACAAAAACATGAAACGGGACTTTATTTCCAGATTTGGTGTAAATGAATAATTTTTACTTTTATATTTTTGATTGTGTAACTTATTTTTATTGAAGTTTTCCTGTGATGCTCGGACAGTGGT